CCCTCGGGGGGCCCCAGGGGCCCCAGGAGCCCTAGGGGCTCCAGGGGCCCCTGGAGGCCCGGGGGCCCAAGGGGGCCCGGGGGCGCAAGGAGGTCCGGGGATCCCAGGAGTCTGGGGGGCCCCAGGGGCCCCGGGGGCCCCAGGAGTCTGGGGGGCCCCAGGGGCCCTGGGGGCCTCGGGGGCCCCTGGCGCTTTGTGCTGGCCCGGAGAGTTTGTGGGGCCACCTCGGGCGTCTTTGGTGGTCTACGGGCTTGTGGTGTCTGTCTCCCCGCTGCTGAGTCCCCCTAAGGAAGCAGCTGCTGCCATGTGTGTGGCGCGGCTGTCTTGTGTTTTTGTAGGGAAGCTGCTGCAGCAGCAGCCCAAGCCGCAGCAAGTGCTGCCCCACGGGGCAGCAGCAGCTCAGCCGCTGAGGGGCCCCCACAGCCCCACTTGGGAGCTGCAGCTGCAGGCGAGAAGCAGCAGCAGTCGCACTGTGGGTTGCTGCCGCTGCTTGCGCTGCAGCAGGAGCGGCAGCAGAGGCGGCCGCCTCGGTGGCAGCAGCAGCACGCACCAATCCTGCAGCAGCAGCAGCACAAAAGGTAGGAGTCGAGGCAGCGAAAACTGCAGCAGCAAATGCTGCTGCAGCGACGCAGAGGAAGAGTTGTTCTTTTTTGCCTCGGCAGCTGCAGCTGCCCGTCTGTGCCTAATGCCGGGCAAAGTGGCTTGCGTTGCGGGGGTGCAGCTACAGCGCGTGCGCAGCAAGAAGCAGCAGCAACAGCAGCAGCAGCAGCAGCAGCCGCTGCGGCTTGTCGCTGGCCCCACGGCGTTCATCGCTCAGTGGCATGTGGGGGAGCTCAAGGCAGCACTAGAGGCCTCGCAGCAGCAGCAGGGGCCCTCGACTCTCTGTGCTGAAGGGGCGGTGCAGCAGGAGGAGGAAGTGCAGCAACAGCAGGAGCCGGTGCAGCAGCAGACGAGCAAGGAGTCTTTGCTGCTGGGCGCAGCAACAGTGGGGGAAGAGCAGCAAAACCCTTTGCTGCTGCTGCTGCTGCAGCTCGTTGGCGCCCTGGGGCCATCAGCGCTCTGCGACGGCCGTCTGCCGTGGCTGCTGCCGCTGCTTCCCATTCGCGGTGAGGCAGCTGCGCCTGCTGCTGCAGCTGTGCTGCTGGCAGCCAGCAGCAGCAGCAGCAGCACGGAGCCACCGCAAACGCTTCGCAACTGCCTAGGGGGCCCCGACGCCTCTGGGACTTCTTTGCTGCTCTTTCTGGGGTGCCAGCAGCAGAAAGGGGCCCCCTTTGAAAGCTTAATGGCAAAACCTGTTTGCTTCCAGGGGCCCGTCACGAGCTGCCGAGGCAGCTGCAGCTTCGGGCTGCTGGGGGGTTTGCTGCAGTGGCAAGCATTTCCCTGGTGCCTCAGCAGCAGCGCCGAGAGCAGGGGCGTTGTGGGCGGCTGCGGCGCCTTGCTGCTGCTGCTGCAACAGCACTTGGGCTGGAGGGACTTGGGCGCCAGCGGCCGAGACATTCTATGCAGAGCAGCACGATGGGCAGCAGCAGCAGCAGCAGCAGGAAGTGAAAAATCTTGTGTGGGGTGGGGGGCCCCTGCAGCGGCGGGTGGGGCCCCACAGGGAGATAGAGACACCTTGCATGCAGCCTGGGGGGCCCCGAGGGCCCTCCCCGTGGCCCTCATATCCAGCAGCAGCAGCAGCGTGCTGCTGCTGGGGCCCCCTGCCCTGAGGGGCCCTGGGGCAGGGCCTCTGGGTGGACACAGCCTTTCTCAGGAAGACAGCAGTTTCGCGCTGCAGCTGCTGGCAGCAACGAGGCCCCACGCTTCGTCCCAGCGCTGCAGCAGGAGCAGGCGCTGCAGCAGCAGCAGCAGCAGCAGCAAGCACGAGAGGATCTGCTGCTGCTGCTCCTGC